TCTCTCTCTCTCTCTCTCTCTCTCTCTCTCTCTCTCTCTCTCTCTCTCTCTCTCTCTCTCATACACACAGAAACTCACTTATTTGTTTGCATGTTTTGTGATCGGATCTGAAAGCTTCTTTTTACGACGTGATTAATTTTGATTTTGTTTTTTCTAATTTTTTAAGGTTTACAGCATTCATTTTCTGTTGATTTTTTTTTTTTTTTTTTTTTTTTTTTTGTAAATTCCGCTAGTATACTGAATTTTAAAACTGTACTACCATTTGTTTAAGTGGGTTGATTGAAATTGAAAAGGTTTAGTTGGTCAACTTTTGTTTTTTAATCGTTCATAATGATGTTGATATATTTGGCTGTACTTATGAATTGGATTTCTTTATATGATTTATTCTAGTTATATAGGTCTTCAAATTCCTTTCTTTTCATTGGATGTTTAGAAAATTATTTTCCAAAGTTACTAAAAAAGTGATTCTCTGGGCTTACATTTGACCGCTACATATAAACATGCTCATTACGTGCCTGAATTCGCATTTAGTTCAGGAAAGACTGATTTTAAGAAAGTTTTAGCTATTTTAAGGGTGCCTTTCATCTAATTAGAGTGATGTCTTGTCTGTTTCACGCTGTAAATAACAAGAAAAAGCTGATCTTTTTGTTTTCTGGTAGTTTACAAACCCTTTCTTGAAGGAAGGAACTTTATTGATGGAACCTCATTTTCTTAAATTTAATGTAATTTAGCTTTAAAGTTGATAAAAGTTAGAGGTTGAGTCAGTGGGTTTAGATGAAGTGCGATTTATTACATCCATGCATATGATTTTTTTTTTGCATATGTAGACATGGTCCGAGCCACAATCAGTGGGTTTGGTAGTGTGTTCACAATACAAAGTGCTAGATCCGCCTCTGAATTAAAAGTGACTTTTCTGTAACGTCCTTGTAAACTTAGACAATGTATAGTAGAATATGCTTGTGCAATATATAATGATTTTGAACTAAGCTGCTCATTGTTTTGTTGATGTAGAAAACTATTGCATCTCCTGGAAGGGGCATCCTTGCCATTGATGAATCAAACGCAACTTGCGGAAAGAGACTGGCGTCAATTGGTCTGGACAATACAGAAGCAAACAGACAAGCTTACCGTCAACTCTTGTTGACCACTCCCGGACTAGGTGATTACATCTCTGGTGCCATTCTATTTGAGGAGACACTTTATCAGTCAACTACCGATGGGAAGAAGATGGTTGACTGCTTGCGCGATCAGAATATTGTACCTGGGATCAAAGTTGACAAGGTGTGATTTTTAACTTGTTTCTATGTTTTGTGTAACTTTTTCCGCGCTTCAGGGATTATGCTGCTACTTTTGTACAAATATTTTTTTTGCCTGTTGAACTTTGCCCAATTTTAACCCTTCTTTTTATTTACAGGGTTTGGTACCCCTACCAGGATCCAATGATGAATCTTGGTGCCAAGGGTTGGATGGATTGGCTTCTAGGTCTGCTGAATACTACAAGCAAGGGGCCCGTTTTGCTAAGTGGTATGTTGTGCACTTTCTGCGTCCTCTATCATCTTTCTCTTGTCCTTTTCCTTGGAAGACCGAAGTGGTCTAAACGTTTCTGAAGAATTACGGAACATAAATCATATGCGACTTTGAAATTTTCAGGAGAACAGTTGTTAGCATTCCTTGCGGTCCTTCTGCTTTGGCGGTAAAAGAAGCTGCCTGGGGTCTTGCTCGATATGCTGCTATCTCTCAGGTGCTTTTTAGGACTTTCTTTCTATCTTTCCAAAGATAAAACATGACAATAGGTTTCTCTTACTCAAAAGAAAAAAAAGATATAACAAGAAAGTAGGAGACACTAAGTCACCAGATTCACCAATTTAAGCATTTGTTGGTCGCACGTTTTTGGGATATTTTCCCATCTTAAGAATTTGGAGAACAATCTTTAAGGCATCAGATATGTTTTTGGGGAATGATGGAAGTTTATCTTTCTATTCATGGATTGCTGAAGATTATTTTCTTACATTCTGCAGGACAATGGTCTAGTGCCAATTNAAAAAATCGCATCCCATAATGCCTGGAAATGTCGGTTGGTATCTTCAACTTGGGGTTATCTGGATTTAGTGTTGCCACCATCATTGTTAAGGTTTCAAATAGCTTACCTGTAGAATATTTAATGTTGATACCTATTACCGGGAAAGGGATCCTAAATTATGACATGATTGAATTCTCAGCCCTTTGAAAAAAATATAGCAGGCATTATTCTGCTGCTCCTTATTGGTTTTTTTTATTCCATTTCTTGGTCAACTATGCTAAAAATCGGTGTGCTTCTCACCTTTCAGTTCCTCTCGGGGGGACAATCCGAAGTGGAAGCGACACTCAACCTCAACGCCATGAACCAGAGCCCCAACCCATGGCATGTGTCGTTCTCATATGCACGTGCACTCCAGAACACAGTGCTTAAGACATGGCAAGGTCGTCCTGAGAATGTAGATGCTGCACAAAAGGCACTCTTGATTCGTGCAAAAGCAAACTCCTTGGCTCAGCTTGGAAAATACTCTGCAGCAGGTGAAAGCGAGGAAGCTAAGAAAGGAATGTTTGTTAAGGGCTACACCTACTAAGCACTCCGCTTTGCTGCAACTTTATGTACTTTCCAGTTTTTTATCGTTTGCTAGATTTGAATGCTGAAGAGGTTTTTAGTGGACTAATTGCTCTTTCTTCTTTTTTGATCTCAAGTTAGTTTACTTGATTAATAAGCTGCAAGGGGTGATTCGTCGAAACACAATCCCAGAAGTTCTCGGGTTTATACTTTATATATGAGGGACATGTATGTCTACAAGAATGTTTAGAATACCTTGTTATTATTATCCCTATATTGAGGACTCTTTAAACTATGCAATCTTTTTCCAAGCGCTCATTGATTTTAAATTCTAATTTCCTGTAATGCTGCATTTGTTCGTTCCTTGCTGGTTTTATTCATAAACATCTACTATTTTTTTTCTTCTTTCTATACAGTGACTTGTACTTTTGATCCTTTAGAACTTCCAAGGTACACCAGAAGACAATAACAATATAAGGAGAACACATTAATGAAATTTTGTATACACTGTTTCTTGTCTTAAATAAACCGCGCTAATTCACTAACCAATAAAATCAATAATGAGCTTTGAATAATGGATCTGCCTCTCTCCACTTCTCAACTTACATACTAGGTAAACTTCTGCATAGAGTTTTGAACTGAATCTGTGACGTGTGTTTAACCCATATATTAATAGTTGTGCTCTTACCACTAGACCAAAGCCTGATATACGCTTTGATTTGATTGTTGGCGAGAGGATGGTGAAAATAGCACGGGCTAGTCGATTTGATTGTTAGCGAGAGGATGGTAAAAATAGCACGGGCTAGTAAGTTTTCGGACTGGTCATTCAAAAATAGTGTCAGCGTTTGCCAAGTCATTGAAAAATAGCCACTATTTTGCTGCAACAAAGACTAGTCCAATATAATATACTGGAGTTCCAATATACTTTGCTGGAGTATTTTTCCGAATTTTGAACAATGTTTTCGTTCATATTTATCTTTACATGAAAAGTAGCTAAATTTCGATAACTTTTGAAATTGTGACTATTTTTGAATGATCACTCGTAAATTTGACTATTTTTTAATTTCTCCGGAGAGATGCGACCGTCGTTGTGACTGACTGCCTTAGCAAATACGCACAATATTTTTCCCTATCCCATTCTATCTATAAAATTCCACGTTTCGCTTTCTCGAACCTAGTTATCAGCGACCAGCCTCTATCACCAATTCTCCGGTCCTTGATATTTCAATTTTTCTTTGTCCACCTCCTGAATTTGTTCAGGATTAATTTCATATATGGTTGCTAAACTTTATCCACTGTACTAGTAAAATCATAAAAATCATTTTTTGTCATATCAAGGTAATTGTGCTTTACCAAACATATACAACAACAATATACCCAATATTATCCCACACCGTGAGGCTGAAGAGGGTAGTGTGTACGCAGACCTTACCCCTACCTTGTGAGGATAGAGACTTTACCAAACATATGTAAACAAATATTTTTTGTTACGTCAAAGTAACTGAATTTTATCCACTATAACAATAAAATTAATTTTACATTATTATAATAATAAAGTCACAAAATAATTTTGTGATTTTGCTACTCTAGTAGCTAGGTAAAGTGTAGTTACTTTATTATGACAAAAAATAATTCTAACTTTATTGTTATAGTGAATAAAGTGCAAATGAAATTAACCTCTAAATAGAGTATTGGTTAAGCAAGGGAACAAAGCATTGGTGTGCAGGTAGATATGCTGAAGGAAGTAGCTCCATTCAAAGGCGAATCTACCCGATTCAATCCTATATGATTACTCTTATCACCAGCAATTTTGCTATTTTTCCTAAGTTTAATTAATAACTGGAAGCAACTATGCTATCAAATGACAAAAACCACCTGATGGATACATCAAACTCAATACTGATGGATGCAGTAAAGGAAGTCCAGGCCTAGCAGGAAGAGGTGGTATTTTGAGAGATCAAATAAGAGATTTGGTGATGGCTTTCTCTAGCTTTTTTGGTGTTTCCACAAATAATATGGTTGAAACGAAAGTCATTCTCATGGGAATTAAATGGTGTCTGGACAAGGGTTACGAGGAGATTTTTGTTGAATCTGATTCACAGATTTTAATCAATGCTATTAACAACCTTTCTTTCATCTCATGGCAAATTTCTCACATTCTGGAGCAAATTTTGGAGCTAGTGTAGGAAGGCAACTTCTATTTTTCTCATTGCTTTAGAGAAGCCAATTGTACAGCTGATTATCTTGCTAATTGGAGCTTACAATTGTAAATAGTTCTTATTCCTAACCTACAGTTGTATTCCATCCTCTTGTATGTACAAGGCATGCTAACTATAGCAAATGATAGTCTCATATTTTGTATCGTGGGATGAGATCAGATTATAAATCTCCATCCCACACTCTACTATTTTTTGTTAATATATAGGTTGGAGTCGAGCCTAAACCTCCTACGAAAGTGGTGAGTATTGACTTAAAAAAAACATTAGTGCAATTCTTGGTGAAATGGACAGATATTCCTGCAAAACACACTACCTAGAAATTGCAAATGAGCTACACACTTGAATTCCTTCCTTCTATCCTTGAGGACAAGGGACGTCCCTTGTGATAGGAGGCATTGATATGCAAAATAAAGTATCCATATTCAAACGCGAGAGTCATTCTTTTGATTCAGTAGAGCGAAAATTTCCTATTTAGGAGCATATAAGGGCCATTCTTCCAAGAAATAATAAAGGGATTTTTACCTACCTATACTATATAGGAAATTTATTTACCCTTCATAATCAAGTTTTAACTTAATTACATGGTCGTATACAATTTATCAATTATATACAAATTAGTTTTAAATGAGTATCCCTTGATTGTAGCCGTTTAATTTAGTAAATCCCGAAAAATCCTCACAATTCCTTGTTTACCCAGATAAACCCTAATCTTTCTAAAGGATTTTCCTCTTTCTCTCTTTGAATTCAACCCTCTTTCTACAATGTTTTTTCTTCTAAAGCTCAGAATTTTCTCTAACAATGGCGAAGAAAGGGATTAATTTTTTATCGATTTGAATTTTGCCATGGCTGGAGTTTGGAGCGTTTTTGGGCTTCCTCTTTTCTTGTTGGTGTTTTTATGGTGGATTAGCAGTAGATGTATATTAATTATTTGGCTGGATTGTTCGAATTAAAATTGCCAATCAATAAATTTTGAAGGTGTTTGACTTTCCACCATTGACAACCATTAAAAAGTTTCGAAACTTTGAATTCAGATTCGGATTTTCAAAAAAAAAAATTGTTTAGATTGAGTGTTATTGCAAACAATTGAGAATATTTTATAGAGTTTATATCTCGATTTTGAGGGTATTTGGTGAAGATTTGGCTGGATTTTCAGATTAAAATTCGAAGAAGAAGCAGAAGAACACACCATATACAAATTATATACAAAACACATACAAAAGACATATCATATAAAATTTGTATAAAAATTATATTTAAGTTATATGATGTTGTAGTTGTATTTAACTGGGTAAGAATGATGTATGAAAGTTATAAATAAGTTGTATTATATATAATTAGTTGTATGAAATTTATTTTTAGTATGATGTTGTTGTTGATATATCAAATTTTATATTAAATTTGTATGAAATTTATTTTTAATTTGTATGCTGCTTTACCATACATTATTCTTTTGTTAAAATAAGTAATTATGGCACAGAGAGAGAAGAGTTGCGCTAACTGGTAGGAGTTTTATGTAGATGAAAGTATAATTTGAATTTCGTTCCTTTCAGTTACGCCCTTTTCCAAGCAAAGAATCCTCTAATTTAAGGCACTAATAATGGATTGTATATAAATTGTAAGAAAAACTTGTTTAGGGTGGGTAATATGCCAAACTCAGACAATTTTAGTAAATAAGTTTCAAATATTGTATAGAAAGAAAAAAATTCCAACAAAATAAAAATATAGGGTCGGTAAGAGTCCGGAACCAAAATGTGATATTTTTTGACTCAAACGACCGAAATGCATGATGTATAAAGCCTTTTAACACATGGCGCACGGAAAGCAGATAAATAGAATTTAATGTACTAAATGAAGAGCAGACTGCTGGGTGGTGCAATAGTTAAAGGCTAGGTAATAAGTTGGTTTTGTCCTTGAAGTCCAATGTTTGATTCCCTCTAGCAACATTATTTTGTTTTCCTATTTCTTTTTTATTTTTCATTTATTTTTATTATTTTGTTTAAGTATTTAGATATAATACTTTAATATTTATAATTACTTTTTAATGTAATTAAAATAATTTAATATTTATTAAAAATTATGATTTTTGAATTCATTTAAAGTAAAAAAAAAAAAAGAGAAGCCTTTTATTATTTCGTTAAAAAATCTACCGACATTTTTAATAGTTGTTATTTTGTATTATACGTAAAACAAAATTATTTTTTATATTTTTTGATACAAAAAATATATATAGTTTAATCTATTGCTTGATTTTTTTTATTTTTTGATATCTTTCTTTTTAAATTTAGTTATTAAAATTTTAGTTATTAATCAAAATTCTAATTATATATTTTATATTTTTCCTTAAATGTATTTTTTATTTCTCCTTTTATTCCTTGGATATTGTAATTGTATTATCCATTAAAAGTTTTCAAATAATAATATGGTTGTTCTTATAATCCATTAGAATTATTATTAGCTAAGTAATGGAATATAATTCTTATATTCTTATTAGGAAATCTAATTAAATGGTTGATCGTAGATTAAATTTTTTCTAATAAGAATTATCCTAAACTTAACTAAATATAACCATTTAATTTATGAAAATCATTTAATTAATTTTTCTATACTAAATTTTCATAAACTAAACTGTATTATAACCATTTAGTTTATGAACAATTATTTAATTAAATGTCCTGATAAGAATATGAAAATCATAATCCATTACTTATATAATAATAATTCTTCGATTATAATTTTAAAAATTAAATAGTTATAATAATTTATATTTAATAATAAAAAAATAATAAGATTTATAATTAGAATTTCGATTGATAAAATTCATATAGTGTAAATATAACTAAACATTTAATAACTAAATTTAAAAAGAAAGATATCAAAAAATAAAAAAACTTCAAGCAGTAGATTAAACACACTCTCTCTCTCTCTCTCTCTCTCTCTCTCTCTCTCTCTCTCTCTCTCTCTCTCTCTCTTTATATATATATATTGTATCAAAAAATACAAAAAATAATTTTATTTTACGTATGATACAAAATAACAACTATTAAAAATGTCGGTAGATTTTTTAACGAAATAATAAAAGGCTTTTTTTTTTTACTTTGA